ACCACAATTCTTGGCATGGCTGGGTCTGTGACAGACCTCTTTCGGAAATAATGACTACAGCTCTTAGTTTGCTGATTGTACTCGCGGTGAGTTAAGCCAAAACCAAGAAGCCACGTGGAGCGCCTGTGAAGCGGGCGGTAGGCAAGCACCGCACTGCAGTGCCACGGTATTGCCTACCTCACAGGTGCTGTTTTGCCGTGAGTAGATCTATGCTACAGCCGCCGCGTACAAACGAATCTAAATGGCGACTGTTCCGTTACAGGTGTGCACTGGCGCCTCGGCCGAGGTGAGGCGCATTCTGAATGCTTTCTTGTAGTATTGCACTGCGAGTGAGAGAGGTCCCAGGTTGAACACGTTTGTCAAAATGGTGTCAAAATGACCTCATTTTGACCAGAATGAGCTCATTTTGACGTCAAATGGTGGTCAATGACGAGTTTTTGACGATTGTGTTCTACCTGGGAAGAAGTACCCACTTAATGAGAAACAGCAAAACAATTACCTTGGGCACTCTTGTCATGGATGGATCACTCTAGAGTGATGCATCCATGACAAGAGTGCTCCCGGGCAGTACCTGTACGAGGACGACGCCGTCGAGGACCTGGGCATGCGTGTGTCCCACTGCCTGCAGCACCTCCCTGCCGTCACCCTACGCCGTCCATCTGACCCCTCTGCGCGGCCCGAGGCCAGGCCGCTTTCGGGTACGGGACATGCGCCAGTGACGCCAGTGTCATGAATCGTGCAGGTCTCGGCAGGACTTCCCATCCTATTTCCTGCAACAGGTGTGGTGGTGCGACCGGGGAATGACGTCTGCGTGCGCCTGGTCATGGAGACCCTATGGGAGGAGGGAAGCCTGGATGAGGCGAGGAACACGGTGGCCTCTTGTCTGTTTGACTACTACCAGACTGCCTTCGAGGCCGTCGCGGTCCCGGACTCCAGCCCCGAGGCCGCCGTGCTCTGGGGCCTGGAGTGCGCGATCAGTGCGCTCAGCACGCCTATCACGCCGACGGAATCCTTCGCGGGAAACGAAAAGTAAACAAAACAAACTCTTCTCCATCTCTATCCCTGGTGCACGTCGCTAACACGAAACAAGCTCCCCATCCACCGATGGGACGGTATCGGCATGTATTTGCGTCCTCTCGCTACTCCCCTGCAGTCTTGGGCTTTATTGATTAACTTCGCCAATTTAATGGACTTGATACCAAGCCATTGAGGCCTTCGTAATTTAACTAAAGTTGAAAAAAATAAAATCAGATAGGTGGTTTGGATTGGTTGGTTCGGTAGCGTTCCCTTCTCAACCCTCTATTTTTCGTTTCGTCCGTCGAATACTGGTCGGCTTGCGCCCTAAATTCACTCGCTGGTACACCGAGTGGTAGGCAGACCATCGCTCACCCTCACCCACTGCCCGCCAAGCCAAGTACTGTAGCTTCCTTTCAACTCCTGTTTCTTTGCGCCGGGGTTGTTTTTGATGAAGCTGGCGATGCTCTTGTTGTGCTCGGGCCCATATTCAACCCGCTCGCGTCAAAATTTATTCAACCATTTTTGACATAAATGCCAACTTATACAGTTAGGCAAATTTATTTACTTTTTGTCTCAAGTTTTCATTAGCTAAAAATTTGAATAGGGCAAATTCAAAAGACCTCTTTAGATTTAAGTTTTACAACAAATTTTATTTGACAATTTACATAATTAGGTACATCTGTCACAATTTGATAAACTAGATTAGAATGGAGGGCAACCTACAGTAACAAATTAGTTTTTGTCCAATTTAAAGGTATAAACAATTTCTGTCTGAAAGTCATGAAAATGAACAGGAATCAATGTAGATGATTTTTTTAAAAATAGTGGACAGCTGGTCAACTTAATTGACAAAAAGAGGTATAAAAGAGGATTTGGTACTTGGACATTTCATAATAGTGAAGGCACTACCTACATATTTCACAAAAACGCATAATGAACACTTATAATACATCCCATGTGTTTATCTGTTCCCTGACATATCCTGCAAATATGTTTGAATATAAAAAACAAAACAAGTCAACTATCAGTGCCATGATGTGTTGTTACAATTCACTTTTCTTGCATGTAAGGCATGATGTTTCCAATCTTAATGCATTCACTTTATACATGAACAACTGAACACAAGTACTAAAACCTAGCAAAGAATTAAGTCGTTTGGAAGATAGCAACTAATAAGAATCAAAGAAATCTAATATTGAATTCAGAATCGGAAGGAGCAACCACAGATCATAAAGAACAGACCTTAATAGATTTTAAAACTATATAATAGAATAATGGTAAACATTAACAAGCCTCACCAGCAATTAACTTTAGGAGAATGATGACAATCACCACTCATGCACCATAGATAAGCAATACAATGTACATTGAATCATACATTAACTCTAATCAAACAGGAGAGGTACTGTAATAAATATATACATGTCCTACAAACTAGGAAACACAATGTATTACATGCATGAGATTGACACTGAACAACATACCATGACATCCCATCAAATATCTTATCTGTAGAGAAACTAGTAAACAGAATAATTTAGAATACAAAGTACAAACAAAGCTACTAGTCCCTCTACTTCTTAACACTTATGATGACCAACTGCAGTTTGTACCAAAGTGAAAAGTAATTGCTGTGAACCTGTATGATCATAAATATTTTAGACACAGTCTTAACACAAATTGGGCTCTGCAAATTTCTTCAACTTTTGGTGAAACTGCAATTAACTCTTCCTACTGACTGGCAGGTACAAGGTCAGGTTGGTTTTGCCGTGACACAACCACAATTCTTGGCATGGCTGGGTCTGTGACAG